TTTTTGGAAAAAAAAAATTTTTTTTCATACTTTTGGGCGTCTTGCACGGATTAATTTTATTTCCATTATTTCTTATGGGGAAAATTCATTCGCATAACGATGAGCCCTCTTGCACGGATTAAAATCGTTAACCGGGGGTCCACTGTACTCTGCTGTTCTTATAACACTTCTGCTTTGTAAAAACCTCTCATAAGCTAACTTTTTCTCTTTTATCACACCCTTTACTTCATCATTCCACCAATCACTCCTCTTTCCTCCTGCCCCCACCCTCCTATAACCACAAACTTCTGCCCCACATTCTAATAATGCATTTTTAAAACTATTCCAACCCTCTTCAACCCCCCTCACTACTCATCTTCGCACTAGCCCACCTTTCTGCCAATAGTCGCTTATATCTCACCCGAACTTCCTCCTCCCTTAGTTTATACACTTTCACCTCTCTCTTACTTGTTGTTGCCACCTTCCGTTTGTCCCATCTACGTCTTACTCTAACTGTAGCTACAACTAAATAATGGTCTGATATATTAGTTGCCCCTATATAAACATGTGCATCCTGGAGCCTACCCATCAACCTTTTATCCACCAATATATAATCTAACAAACTACTTTCATTACATGCTACATCATACCTTGTATATTTATTTATCCTCTTTTTCATAAAATATGTCTTACTTATTACCAAATCTCTTTCTACAAATAGCTCAATTAAAGGCTCCCCATTTACATTTACCCCTGGCACCCCAAATTTTACGTACTGCTCCCTCCATAACATTTTTACCCACTTTAGCATTGAAATCCCCAACCACAAGTACTCTCTCACTTGGTTCCAAACCCCCCACGCATTCACTCAACATTTCCCAAAATCTCTCTCCTCTACACTTCTCTCTTCTCCAGGTGCATATATGCTTACTATAACCCACTTTTCACATCCTTTATTTTACTCCACATAATCCTTGAATTACTACATTTATATTTCCTCTTTACCTGCCATAGCTTATCGTTCAACATTATTGCTACTACTCCTTTAGCTCTAACTCTATTTGAAACCCCTGACCTAATCCCACTTACTTCTCTCCACTGTAACTCTCCCACCCTCGTCAGCTTTGTTTCACTTAAAGCCAAGACATCCAGCCTCTTCTCATTCATAACATCCACAATCATCTCTTTCTTATCATTTGCACAACATCCACTCACATTCAGACATCTCACTTTGACAATTTTCTTCTTCTTATTTTTAGTAATCTGTACAGGAAAAGGGGTTACTAGCCCATTGTTCCCGGCATTTTAGTTGACTTTTACAACGTGCATGGCTTACGGAGGAAAGATTCTTATTCCACTTCCCCATGGATATAAAAAGAAAAGTAATGAGAACAAGAACTATTAAGATAAATCAAAGAAAACTCAGATGAGTGTGTATAAATAAACATGTACATGTATGTGTAGTGTGACCTAAATGTAAGTATAAGTAGCAAGACTAACCTGAAATCTTGCATATTTATGAGAGACAAAAGACACCAGCAATCCTACCATCATGTAAAACAACTACAGGCTCTTGTTTTACATTCACTTGACAGGACGGTAGTGCCTCCGTGTGTGGTTGCTGTCTACCAACCGACATACCACAAAATGCCCTCAAACATGACCTCTCCACTGCCTCTAGCCTCCTCCTTGCTGCAACTTTTAAAGCCATGCTTCACACCCATACAATTATGTTGGTGCCACACTACTCTCGTACATTCTCCTTCTTACCTCCATAGATGCCTTAACCCTTTGAGGGTCGACAGGCCCTCTCCGAAACTCGTTCTCAGGGTCGGCCAAATTTAAAAAAAAAAAAAATTATTTTCTCTTATGAAAAGATAGAGAATCTTTTCCCGATCATAAAGACACCAAAAGTTTGAAATTTGATAGAAAACTTACGAAATTATGCTCTCGCAAAGTTAGCAGTCTCGGCGATGTTTACGCATCGGCGATTTTGCCCACTTTGAGCCCCATCTTCGGCCAATTTCGCTGTACTAGTCGACAAAAAACATGAATATTTCGCTAGAACTCCATTTTTTCTATTGAATGGGTGCAAGAAACCACCCATTTATGAAATTCAACTATCCAGTACAGTGGTCAGAATTTAGCAATTTTGCCCAAATTTTACACAAATTTCAAAAGATGCCAATTTCTGAATAGGGTCCGAATAAACAAGAAAGACATTCCTGGCACTAAAATGACATTTCCTCTAGTCATTAGTCACGTCTCAAGGCCCCTCTTATATTCTTTTGCTTCATTTTGAATTTTTATTCTCACAAAAAATATAAGATTTACTGTATGCAGACTACTGCATTAGTGTAAAAATTGGTATAAATATTATTGGTGCAACTTGTGAAAGAATATTAGACTCACCAGTTGACGTGATATTGCACGCTTGGCACGATTTGTTTACTTTTGAAGTTGGTAAAAATCGAACAATTTCTGCTACTTGAGCTCAATTTCAAGGCACCTTCATTGTAAACCAGCCAAAATCATTCAATTTCTGTAATATGTCTTCCAGTTCTATAAAATGAGACCAAGAAAACTAGAATAAAACATAAATACCATACGAAAAATACACTGCAAAGTCGCTGATTTATTCCAAAAAAAAATGGTCAAAGTTTTTTTTTTCTCATTATGCACTGTGTGCTGCAGGATTTTTTTTAGACTGTGCACACTGACCACATAGACCCATTCTTTCATATGAAGGCCTACCAGCTTTCTCCCACTAGATTTGAGGCCGCTAGAATTTATGCGTACTAGTACGTCAAAAACCCCTACGCGTAAGACGTACTAGTACGACGAAAACCCTCAAAGGGTTAATGCACCACCCACTTTTTGTCTCCCTCATATATTCTATGGTTCACTTCATCTTTCACAGATCCATCTGCCAGAAAATCAACTCCCAAATATCTAAAAAAAATTTACGTCTTCCATACTGCCTCCCTTGAATCCGATATCCATGTGTTCACTGCATAGATTTTTTGTTACTCTTTCCTATGTTCACTTTCAATTTCCTTCTTTTACTTACCCTCCTATATTTCTCCACCAACCTTACCGATTTTTCCTTAGAATCTCCCAAAAGATTCATGTCATCAGAAAAGAGGAACTGCAACAACCTCCACTTTGAATCAAATCTGTTAGCTTTTAATGGCACACCTCTCCCAACTATTATATTCATTGGGAAGCACTAAACCCACAGGCTTTAGTTATCACATTGAAAAAAATGCTAACAGCATTTGTACGGTAACCATATTATTGGTATTCAAAAGGATGTCAGGATGTATAACACCACAAGCAGAGTTTTCTTCATAATAGTTTACATTATTACTGCAGTAGTATAGTGTAAATTTAAGAAACAATTTCCTGCCTATTAAGCCATTGTAAAATGAAACACTACTCACCCGAATCAGAATAAATCTTCAGAGATTTCATAGACTTTCGAGAGGGTTTACTAGAATGTTCTTGTAATTGCAGTTGAGCAGTTGTAGAGAGTGTTGAGGATAGAGTAAGCCTTCGACTTTTCCGATGTCCAATGGATAGCTCCTCAATGACTGGATTGACTGCTTTTAAAAGCTTGCCACCTTCTGATTGCCGCTTTGAAAAACGTTTTTTGAGGAGTCTCTCATCCTCTTCGCTGCTTTCAGAATCTGTGAATAAATAATACGTGAAGTATTAATAACACAACAATAAATGACACTACATGTAAGATCTTGAAAAAAAAAAAAAAAATGATGGTAGAAGTGCTAGTGAGAACAACAAGTAGATGAAGTACTCGAAGAATGTCACTACTGGGTAAAAGAAATAAAGGGGAATCAAAGAAATGGAAAAATAGTAGACATAGGCAACAACTAAAGGGAGAAATGTGGACTAGAGAAAGTAGGGTGAGGAGGGAGGGAGGGAGGGGGGGAGGGAGGGAGGGAGGGGAGGGAGGAGGAGGTTGTTTGTATTTTTTTTTTTTTAACAAATCGGGCCGTCTCCCACCGAAGCAGGTGACCCAAAAAAAGAAAGAAAAATCCCAAAAAGAAAATACTTTTATCATCATTCAACACTTTCACCTCACTCATACATAATCACGTTTTTGCAGAGGGTAGAAAAAAAAACAATTTAAAGCATATAATACCCTCCAAACGCCAATTTTCCCAAACCCCTCCTTTAAATGCGGGCATGTAATTCCCATTTCCAAACTAATTTGGGCTATATAAAATAACCGTTTCTCTAAATCCTTTCACTAAATACCCCCTTTCTCACACTCAACGTCGTAGGTCCCAAATCCATTGTCTTCCCTTCACCCTTTTAAACTGCTCATGCACGTTTTGCGGGGTCCAAGCCCCTCCCCAAAAACCCCTTTATCCCCTCGCCCACCCTTTTCGAGGACGACCCCTACCCCCCCTTTCCTTCCCCTACAGATTTATATGCCTCCATCCTTCTTCAAAAATTGACCAAACCACCCAAAAACCCCTTTTCAGCCCTCAATATTTTATTAACTCCACACCTTCTCCTTTTTTTCCACCTCTAATTTTGCATAATATTTACCCACACTTTCCCTTAGACAAACTCTCCACTGCCCCCAACCACCCTCCGCGCATTTACAACCCAAGTTTCCACCCCAAATAATGTGTCGGTCTACTATACTTTCTATATTCCCTCTTTGCCTCCAAATAAAGTTTTTTTTCTCCCAAAAATTTCCTCAAGCACCACTTTTGCCTCTTTTTTCCCTTTAAATCCCCTCGTATTAACCCCATTCATAAATCCAGCCACTACACGTCACTTTCCCCAAAAATTTTGAAAAAATTCACTTCTTCCATTCCTCCTCTCCAATTTGATATCCAATTTTTCTTTATCTAAATCATTTGATACCCTCATCACCTTACTCTTTTCTATGTTCACTTTCAACTTTCTACCTCTACATACTCTCCCAAACTTGTCCACTAACTCCTGCAATTTTTCTTTAGAATCTCCCATAAGCACAGTATCATCAGTAAAAAGTAACTCAATTCCCATTCTGTATTTGATTCTCCATAATTTAATCCCACCCCTCTCCCGAACACCCTAGCATTTACCTCTTTTACAACCCTATCTATAAATATATTAAACAAACATGGTGACATTACACATCCCTGTCTAAGACCTACTTTTACTGGGAAATAATCTCCCTTTCTTCTACACACCCTAACCTGAGCCTCACTATCCTCATAAAAACTCTTTACAGCATTTAGTAACTACTACCCATTAAATATACTTTCAACATCTGCCACATTGCTCCCCTATCCACTCAATCATATGCCTTTTCCGAATCCATAAATGTAGTGAAAACTTCCCTATATCTAAATACATGTACTGTTCACTAAATACTGTTCTTTCGAAGTAGTATGGAGAACAAATATGAATGTAGTGCTGGAGTGTGCAGTGGAAGTTTATTGATGTAGGAGGGTGGGAAGAAGTATCATTGATGGAATGATGAGGTAAAGAGGATGGTAAGGAAGAAAAAGTTAACATACAAGTGATTTTTTACTCTAAAAATAACATATGTAAGGTAGAGCATATGGAAAGAGGCCAAAAGAGTGGTGAGGATGAGAAAAAGGTAAGCTAATGAGGCTATAGGTGAGACTTTATCAGTAAATTTTGTCGAGATTAAAAAACAGTTTAAGAGAAGATTCACAAGCTGAGAAAAATGGGAGGCAAATGAACATGGCAGTTAAAAATGAAAGTGGGTAGAACTAGATTAGTAGGTGGAGGTACTGAGATAATAGTGAGAATATTCTGAGGTGCTGTTAAATGTTGATGAAGAGGCAGAAATTTCTTGCACTGGATAACATCTTTTAGGAGTAAGAGCCAATGGTGAATGTGGAGAAAGGTGCAGGAGGTAGTGGGTAGAATGAAAAGTGGTAAAGCAGCTGGAACACATGGGATTATGACAGATGTTATAAGCAGATGTGGACATCGTTTTGGAATAGGTGTATTTATTCAGTTTGCATGAAAGGGAAGGCAAGGGAACTAAGAATGGGCAGAAAGAATGCATGGTTCCTTTAACCCTTTCACTGTCAGACTGCTGAAATTAATATCGCTCTTAGTGTCCACATTAAAAAAAAAAAATCTAGAATGGTAGAGGACCTTTTTCTGAAGGTTATGAAACCAAAAGTATAATTTTTTTTGGAAAACTTGCAGAATTGTGCAGGCACAAGTTATTGGTCAGGGAATAAATAACATATCGACAATTTCACCCACTGTTTTTTGTTAAGAAAACAATATTTTCCATAGTTTTTCAGTTTCAATTTTGTTTTCCACCATAGGACTTGACTCGGCCCCTTAAAGCCAATTCCTTTGCTCCTTTTGACCAATTCTTAGCTATTTCACTAGCAAGTCATCCATTCTATTGACCGAGGACAAGAAACTACCCATTTAACTATTAGAATTACCCTATAATGCGCAAAGTCAGTAATTTAGCCAATTTTACATAACATTCAAAACATTCAAATTTAAAAATTAAAGTAAAATAGACAATGTAGACATTTCCTCTGAATTCATCATCAAAATTGATGTGCTGTTGGAGTGTGAGCAAGGTAACATTTATGAAGGGATTCAGGGAAACCAGCAGGTTGGACCCGAGTCCTGGAGATGGGAAGTACAGTGCTTGCACTCTGAAGGAGTGTAAGCACGCCTCTTGAAAGACAGTAATTGGGTGAATGATGACGAAAGTTTTTCTTTTTCGGGCCATTCTGCCTTGGTGGGAAACAGCCGATGTGTTAATAATAATAAAAAAATTGAAGATTTACCCTATTTTTTGGATAATAAAATTTAACCAGGAATGATGGAAAACTTACAGAATTATGCTCTTATAAATTTCGCTCACTTTGAGCCCTATTTTCTGCTAATTCCATTGTTCCTGTAACCCAAACTCACAGGTATTTCAACAGTATTCCTTCTATTTTATCGACCGAGTGCAAGAAACTGTCCATTTACTTATTTCAGCTACCAAATAAAGTGATCAGAAATTGGTAATTTGGCCAATTTCACATAAAATTCAAAACTTGCCAATTTAAAAATAGGGTCCAGAATAAATGATGTAGACATTCTTAACACTAAGAAAACATTTCCTCTGTTCATTAGTTATGTCCCCAGACCTCTCCTACATTATGCTTGCCTTCCATTTTAAATATTTATTTACACAAAAAATAGAAGATTTACTGCTATGCAGCCTACTGTATCATTGTATCAATAATGTCAATGCATTTTTTTTTATTATCATTTTTTTTATTATCACACCGGCCGATTCCCACCAAGGCAGGGTGGCCCGAAAAAGAAAAACTTTCACCATCATTCACTCCATCACTGTCTTGCCAGAAGGGTGCTTTACACTACAGTTTTTAAACTGCAACATTAACACCCCTCCTTCAGAGTGCAGGCACTGTACTTCCCATCTCCAGGACTCAAGTCCGGCCTGCCGGTTTCCCTGAATCCCTTCATAAATGTTACTTTGCTCACACTCCAACAGCACGTCAAGTATTAAAAACCATTTGTCTCCATTCACTCCTATCAAACACGCTCACGCATGCCTGCGGGAAGTCCAAGCCCCTCGCACACAAAACCCTTTACCCCCTCCCTCCAACCCTTCCTAGGCCGACCCTACCCGCCTTCCTTCCACTACAGACTGATACACTCTTGAAGTCATTCTGTTTCGCTCCATTCTCTCTACATGTCCGAACCACCTCAACAACCCTTCCTCAGCCCTCTGGACAACAGTTTTGGTAATCCCGCACCTCCTCTAACTTCCAAACTACGAATTCTCTGCATTATATTCACACCACACATTGCCCTCAGACATGACATCTCCACTGCCTCCAGCCTTCTCCTCGCTGCAACATTCATCACCCACGCTTCACACCCATTTTAAGAGCGTTGGTAAAATATACTCTCATACATTCCCCTCTTTGCCTCCAAGGACAAAGTTCTTTGTCTCCACAGACTCCTAAGTGCACCACTCACTCTTTTTCCCTCATCAATTCTATGATTCACCTCATCTTCATAGACCCATCCGCTGACACGTCCACTCCCAAATATCTGAATACGTTCACCTCCTCCATACTCTCTCCCTCCAATCTGATATTCAATCTTTCATCACCTAATCTTTTTGTTATCCTCATAACCTTACTCTTTCCTGTATTCACCTTTAATTTCTTCTTTTGCACACCCTACCAAATTCATCCACCAATCTCTGCAACTTCTCTTCAGAATCTCCCAAGAGCACAGTGTCATCAGCAAAGAGCAGCTGTGACAACTCCCACTTTGTGTGTGATTCTTTATCTTTTAACTCCACGCCTCTTGCCAAGACCCTCGCATTTACTTCTCTTACAACCCCATCTATAAATATATTAAACAACCACGGTGACATCACACATCCTTGTCTAAGGCCTACTTTTACTGGGAAAAAAATTCCCTCTTTCCTACATACTCTAACTTGAGCCTCAATATCCTGTAAAAACTCTTCACTGCTTTCAGTAACCTACCTCCTACACCATACACTTGCAACATCTGCCACATTGCCCCCCTATCCACCCTGTCATACGCCTTTTCCAAATCCATAAATGCCACAAAGACCTCTTTAGCCTTATCTAAATACTGTTCACTTATATGTTTCACTGTAAACACCTGGTCCACACACCCCCTACCTTTCCTAAAGCCTCCTTGTTCATCTGCTATCCTATTCTCCGTCTTACTCTTAATTCTTTCAATTATAACTCTACCATACACTTTACCAGGTACACTCAACAGACTTATCCCCCTATAATTTTTGCACTCTCTTTTATCCCCTTTGCCTTTATACAAAGGAACTATGCATGCTCTCTGCCAATCCCTAGGTACCTTACCTTGTGATCACATATTAGACTGACCAGTTGGATACACATTGGATGAGTGATGTAATTTGTTTACTCTAGAATATCGGCAAAACTCAAACATTTCAGCTACTTTGAACTCCATTTTGAGCTGTACTTTCAGTCCTGAAACCAATCAAAATCATCTCTATTGTTATAATACAGTATACCATCAATTCTATTAAATGAGACAAAGAAACTTTGAGTAAACCCATAAAAACTATACAAAAATACATTGTAAAGTCACTGTATAAACTAAAAACACTGTTGTAATTTTTTCCTCATTATGCACTGCATGCTGCAGGATTTTTTTATATGGTGCGTACTTACCACACAGACCCATTCTCTCATATCTAGGCCCAAATTTGCTGGTCACAACTTATCTGAGCATGCTGAGCCCTGGCATAGTACTACAGCACTGACAGTGACCTCAAAGCTGTAGTACTACAGCACAGTCAGCAAAAGGGTTAAAAACCCATAATACACACTGAAGGGTGTATGGGGCCTTGCCTGTCCTCAGGAAAATCTGCAAAAATTGAACATTTCCACTATTTTGAGCCCAATTTTAAGCTACTTTCGGTCCTGGATTCAACCAAAATCATCTCAATTTCAGTAGTATGCTTTCCAGTCTATCAAATGATACCAAGAAAAAGACAATAAAAATGATGCGAGGGAAAAGTTCAACAGATAGGTGTAGCGAGCGAGTATATGGTGACGATAGTTTGAGAGCCAGTCTGCTTGTTAAGGTAGGGTCAGTGTCTAGCTCCTGCTATCCCCCCCCCTTTTTTACACCCGGAAAGGTGACGTGTGGGGCTTCAACCAAATGGATAATCACTTGACTCACAGCTCCCAGCACAACTGTAAGTAAAAGCCTCTGCTCCTATTATAGTGGATTTTTTTTTTCAACAAACCGGCCGTATCCAACCAAAACAGGGTGGACCAAAAAGAAAAACGAAAGTTTCTCTGTTTAAATTTAGTAATTTATACGGGAGAAGGGGTTACTAGCCCCTTGTGCCCGGCATTTTAGTCGCCTCTCACAACACGCATGGCTTACGAAGGAAGAATTTTGTTCCACTTCCCCATGGAGATAAGAAATAAACAAGAACTAGAAAGAAAATAGAAGAAAACCCAGAGGGGTGTGTATATATATGCTTGAACATGTATGTGTTATATATATGCTTGAACATGTATGTGTAGTGTGACCTAAGTGTAAGTAGAAGTAGCAAGACGTGCCTGAAATCTTGCATGTTTATGAGACAGAAAAAAAGGACACCAGCAATCCTACCATCATGTAAAACAATTACAGGCTTTCGTTTTACACTCACGTGGCAGGACGGTAGTACCTCCCTGGGTGGCTGCTGTCTACCAACTGACTACCTAGAATTCTCTCATATCTATGTCAAAATTTACCTCTCACAGCTTATCTGTGTGAGATGAACACATGAGAGATCTACATGACAGAGCATCAATAACATAGATCTAAAGGATGGACAGTAAAAGAGTTAATAAGTATATATTTTGTAAGTTTTTTTTTTTTTCAACAAACCGGCCGTATCCCACCAAGGCAGGGTGGCCCAAAAAGAAAAACGAAAGTTTCTCTTTTTAAATTTAGTAATTTATACGGGAGAAGGGGTTACTAGCCCCTTGCTCCTGGCATTTTAGTCGCCTCTTACAACACGCATGGCTTACGGAGGAAGAATTCTGTTCCACTTCCCCATGGAGATAAGAGGAAATAAACAACAAGAAGAACTAGAAAGAAAATAGAAGAAAACCCAGAGGGATGTGTATATATACATATATATGCTTGTACATGCATGTGTAGTGTGACCTAAGTGTAAGTAGAAGTAGCAAGACGTACCTGAAATCTTGCATGTTTATGAGACAGAAAAAAAAGGACACCAGCAATCCTACCATCATGTAAAACAATTACAGGCTTTCGTTTTACACTCACTTGGCAGGACGGTAGTACCTCCCTGGGCGGTTGCTGTCTACCAACCTACTACCTATGATATTTTGTAAGTATTGTTTAGTATTATATTACAGTGTGAACAGATATTCTGTGCACTATGAGACAGTGTCTCAACTTGCATTACAACTGATAAGGTCAGCAAATTCTTCGTTTCAAAGATAATAGATTTTTATTTTTAATTAATTTCTCAGATCTTTATACTACTTATAGGCTCTACAGTATCATAGAAAAGCAAACCACCCACCCTGTGGGTAGTTTATTTTCCTATGGTGGTCCAAGCTCTACATCACCTAGTTTATAACTTCAAGGGTTATTTTCATTCCCAATGACTAGGACTTACACTTGTCCACATTGAATTTCATCTGCCAATATTCAGACCAAGACACTAATTTGTTCAAATCCACCTGGAGTTCATTTCTGTACTGTGCATTTTAACTACTGAGAGAGTATTAAAGAATGGTTACTGACCTTTCATGCTGGTTAAAGAAGCAGTTCCACTGGATCTGGTGGACATTCTATCTGGAGAACTCTGCAAGGATCAAGATAAAACTTTTAAACAATGCATTAACATACTGCTATCTAAATCAAGACCCCTAAATCATATTTGACCCTTTGAGGGTCGCCAGGCCCTCTCAGAGACTTGTTCTCAGGGTTGCAAAAAAAAAAAAAAAAAAAAAAAACTGAAAAGATAGAGAATCTTTTCCCGATCATAATGACACCAAAAGTGTGAAATTTGATGGAAAACTTATGGAATTATGCTCTCGCGAAGTTAGCGGTCTCGACAATGTTTACACATCGGCGATTTTGCCCACTTTGAGCCCAATTTTCGGCCAATTCCAGTGTACTAGTGGACAAAAATCATAACTATTTCGCGAGAACTCCGTTTTTTCTATCGAATGAGTACAAGAAACCACCCATTTACCGGTTTCAACTATCCAATAAAGTGGTCAGAATTTAGCAATTTTGTCAATTTCACAAAAATTTCAAAAGATGCCAATTTCCAAATAGGGTCCAGAATAAACAAGAAAGACATTCCAAGCACTAAAATAACATCTCCTCTGTTCATTAGTCACGTCCCCAGGCCCCTCTTACATTTTTTTTGCTTTCCACTTTGATTTTTTCTCACAAAAAAATAAGATTTACTGTTATGCAGACTACTCCATTAGTGTAGAAATGGTATAAATAATATCGGTGCACTTGTGAAAGAATATTAGACTTACCAGTTGACGTGTATTGGACGCATAGCATGATTTGTTTACTTTTGAACTTTGGTAAAAATCGAACATTTCTGCTACTTTGAGCTCAATTTCAAGGTACTTTTCATTGTAAAACCAGTCAAAATCATCTCAATTTCTGTAATATGTCTCCCATTCTATACAATGAGACCAGGAAAACTAGAATACAACAATAAATACTATACGAAAATACAGTGCAAAGTCGCTGTTTTAAACTAGAAACACAGTCCAAGTTTTTTGTTCTCATTACGCACTGTGTGCTCTAGGATTTTTTTTTTATACTGCGCACACTGACCACATAGACCCATTCTTTCATGTGTAGGCCTACCAGCTTTCTCTTGCTATATTTGAGGGTGCTAGAATTTATGCGTACTAGTACGTCAAAAACCCTGGTGCGTAAGCCGTACTAGTACGTCCGAAACCGCGAAAGGGTTAATAAACAATCACACAATTTATTCCAAACTTTTGATACAAATTCAAATACAAATTTCTCTATGCCAGTTTTTCTAATCATTCCATTTTTAAGCAAGACAAAATCTTTATACAGTGCACCCTTCCTTTCCGCTGGGCTCCGTTTTCGTGAATTTCAGTTATCTCGACTTTTTTTTGTAAAAATGTTGGCTCAGTTTTCGTTACGTTCCTCAGTTCTTGTTGGTGGTTGGGAACACGTGTGAGTGTGCCCGCGCACACACAACCTCCCACACACGCATTCTGAGGCAGTGTCGTTTTGTTTCTCGGTGAGTGAACATTATCCTGTGAGGTCACAGGAAACATTTCGTAATAATTCATTGTTTTTTGCCCTTGTTTATTCTGTATGATTGCTAAATAAGCCACCATGGGCCCAAAGAAAGCTGCTAGTGCCAGTCCTTTGGTAAAGAAAGTGAGAAACACAATAGAATTAAAGAAAAACATTGTAGAAAAATACAAAAGTGGTGGTAAAAGAGGATGGTAGTGATGGTGGAAGAGGGTGGTAGTGGTTGTGATGGTAGAGGATGGTAGTGGTTGTGATGGTAGTAGAGGGTGGTAGTGGTTGTGATGGTGGTAGTGATTGTGATGGTGGTATAGTAGTAGTGGTTGTGATGGTGGTAGAGGGTAGTAGTGGTTGTGATGGTAGTAGAGGGTGGTAGTGAAGGTAGTAGAGGGTGGCAGTGAAGGTGGTAGAGGGTGGTAGCAGTTCTAATGGTGGTAGAGGATGGTAGTGATGGTGGTAGAGGATGGTAGTGATGGTGGTAGCAGTTCTAATGGTGGTAGAGGATGGTAGTGATGGTGGAAGAGGGTGGTAGTGAAGGTGGTAGAGGGTGTTAGCAGTTCTAATGGTGGAAGAGGATGGTAGTGATGGTGGTAGTGTGTGGTAGTGATGGTGGTAGAGGATGGTAGTGGTTGTGATGGTGGTAGAGGGTGGTAGTGATTGTGATGATGGTAGAGGGTGGTAGTGGTTGTGGTAGAGGTTGTGATGGTGGAAGAGGATGGTAGTGGTTGTGATGGTGGTAGAGGATGGTAGTGGTTGAGAGGGTGGAAGTGGTTGAGAGGGTGGTAGTGGTTATGATGGTGGTAGAGGGTGGTAGTGGTTATGATGGTGGTAGAGGGTGGTAGTGGTTTTGATGGTGGTGGAGGATGGTAGTAGTGGTTGTGATGGTGGTAGAGGGTGGTAGTGATGGTGGTAGAGGATGATAGTGGTTGTGATGGTGGTAGTACATTGTGGTAGTGATGGTGGTAAAGGGTAGTAGTGATGGTGGTAGAGGGCAGTTGTGGTAGTGATTGTGGTAGAGGGTAGAGCTGCAAGAGCTCTCTGGACAGCTTTTTTGTGCGACAGGGGTCCAGTGACTCTCAAGCTGGTCCTAGTGCCATTAAAAACAAAAGGGAAGTAACCCAGGATAAGGACTTGGTACCTGTAGTCCTTATGGAAGGGGATTCCCCTTCCAAACAATAATCAGTCCTCCCTCTCCCCTCCTCCCTGTCTCCCATACACCAGCAAGAGTCTACAGTAAAGGTAAGTGTGATGTTAAATGTTCATTTATATAGTATGTTATTAGTGCTTTACAATATATTTGTCATTCTTTTCTGTATGTAAATCTATATTTAATCTTTAACCCTTTCAGGGTTTTGGCTGTACTACTACGGCTTGCACACCAGGGTTGGTGCTGTACTAGTATGCATAAATTCTAGCGCCTTCAAATCTAGCGAGAGAAAGCTGGTAGGCCAACATATGAAAGAATGGGTCTATGTGGTCAGTGTGTGCAGTATAAAAAAAATCCTGCAGCACACAGTGCATAATGAGGAAAAAAAAAAAAAAAACTTTGACCGTGTTTTTGGATTAAAACAGCGACTTTGCACTGTATTTTCGCATGGTATTTATTGTTGTATTCTAGTTTTCCTGGTCTCATTGTATAGAATGGAAGACATATTACAGAAATTGAGATGATTTTGACTGGTTTTACAATGAAAAGTACCTTGAAATTGAGCTCAAAGTAGCAGAAATGTTCGATTTTTACCAAAGTTCAAAAGTAAACAAATCATGCTAAGCGTCCAATACATGTCAAATGGTGAGTCTAATATTCTTTCACAAGTGCGCCGGTAATATTTATACCATTTCTACACTAATGCATTAGTCTGCATAACAGTAAATCTTCTATTTTTTGTGAGAATAAAAATTCAAAATGGAAAGCAAAAAAATGTAAGAGGGGCCTAGGGAACGTGACTAATGAACAGAGTAAATGTTATTTTAGTGCCAAGAATGTCTTTGTTTATTCTGGACCCTATTTGGAAATTGGCATCTTTTGAAGTTTGTGAAATAGGCAAAATTGCTAAATTCTGACCACTGTATTGGATAGTTGTAATTGGTAAATTGGTGGTTTCTTGTACTCATTCGATAGAATGAGTACAAGAAGTTATAGCGAAATAGTTATGATTTTTGTCGACTAGTACATTGGAATTGGCCAAAAATAAGGCTCAAAGTGGGCAAAATCGCCAATGTGTAAACATCGTCGAGACCGCTAACTTCACGAGAGCATAATTCCATAAGTTTTCCATCAAATTTCATACTTTTGGTGTCATTATGATCGGGAAAAGATTCTCTATCTTTTCATAATTTTTTTTTTTTTTTTTTTTTTTTTTGAAATTTGGGGGACCCTGAGAACAAGTCTCTGAAAGGGCCTGTGGACCCTGAAGGGGTTAAAAAAAAGTATTTTTTTTGTTGAGACTTTTGGGAGTCTGGAATGGATTAATTAACATTATTTCTTATAGGGAAAATGGTTTCAGTTTTTGTCAATTTCACATTTCATCAGACTTTCTGGAATGGATTAACCCTTTGAGGGTCGACAGGCCCTCTCCGAAACTCGTTCTCAGGGTCGGCCAAATTTAAAAAAAAAAAAAAATTATTTTCTCTTATGAAAAGATAGAGAATCTTTTCCCGATCATAAAGACACCAAAAGTTTGAAATTTGATAGAAAACTTACGGAATTATGCTCTCGCAAAGTTAGCGGTCTCGGCGATGTTTACGCATCGGCGATTTTGCCCACTTTGAGCCCCATTTTCGGCCAATTTCACTGTACTAGTCGACAAAAAACATGAATATTTCGCTAGAACTCCATTTTTTTCTATCGAATGGGTGCAAGAAACCACCCATTTATAAATTCAACTATCCAGTACAGTGGTCAGAATTTAGCAATTTTGCCAATTTCACACAAATTTCAAAAGATGCCAATTTCCGAATAGGGTCCAGAATAAACAAGAAAGACATTCCTGGCACTAAAATGACATTTCCTCTAGTCATTAGTCACGTCTCAAGGCCCCTCTTATATTCTTTTGCTTTCCACTTTGAATTTTTATTCTCACAAAAAATATAAGATTTACTGTTATGCAGACTACTGCATTAGTGTAAAAAATGGTATAAATATTATTGGTGCACTTGTATAAGAATATTAGACTCATCAGTTGACGTGTATTGCACGCTTGGCACGATTTGTTTACTTTTGAAGTTCGGTAAAAATCGAACATTTCTGCTACTTTGAGCTCAATTTCAAGGCACCTTTCATTGTAAAACCAGTCAAAATCATCTCAATTTCTGTAATATGTCTTCCATTCTATAAAATGAGACCAGGAAAACTAGAATACAACAATAAATACCATACGAAAATACACTGCAAAGTCGCTGATTTATTAAAAAAAAATGGTCAAAGTTTTTTTTTTCTCATTATGCACTGTGTGCTGCAGGATTTTTTTTAGACTGTGCACACTGACCACATAGACCCATTCTTTCATATGAAGGCCTACCAGCTTTCTCCCACTAGATTTGAGGCCGCTAGAATTTATGAGTACTAGTACGTCAAAAACCCCTACGCGTAAAACGTACTAGTACGACCAAAACCCTCAAAGGGTTAATGATGAAAAGGGAGGGTCCCCTGTAATACTTGCATGATTCATTACTTTTTTAACTTGTGAGTTCATTACCTTTGTACCTTGTTCAGCTATCAAAACTTTGGGACCCAGTCCCTGGACCCATTATGTACCTTTGTAATCTTTTGACTACTGCCCACAGGACAGGTATGGGGTGCATAATAAAAATATTAAACTAAACCACTGTAATATAAAATCTTAAAAATACTACCCAGCATATCAGCTGAATCTGGGTAAACATCATAAAATAAAATATTCAATATGAATATTATCCTTTTTTTTTTTTTAACACACAAACAGCCCCCCCCCCCCAAAAAAAAAAAAATTAATTGTCTTACAAGAAGTGTGCTGACATCACAGTTCAGATGGCCCTCCAACATGCAACAGCCCCACTCCTCCAGAGTGCAGGCACTTATTATTTTCTTGGAGTTAGGTCACAGATACATATATATAGTACATAGAAAGAGGTGTAGGAGACATCCCAAGAAGGGCTAAAAGGAGGGTGTGAAGGAGGATATGAGTGATAAGGGCTTGAGCATCCAGCAGGCATGTGTTAGTTTTTTTTTTTTTATCATAGTAGGATAAGTGGTTTTTGGAATGCAATAAGCTGCCAGAGCGTGAGCAAAATTTATTAAGGAATTCAGGAAAAATGGAGTGCCATACTTGAGTTTTGGAGGGTCATTCAAACTGTAATGTCTGTGCACCTCTGACAAGAAAACCACTGACTGTGTTTCCTTGTTTGGATCACCCTACCTTTGTTACAAAAAGCCAATGTGGTGATATAAATCCCTTTCAACTTCATTATAACTCACCTGGGCAACCTCCAGAAGTGATGCACGAGTACGAGTCATCGGCGATGATGTTCTTATATCTTCTAATTTTGAATGCTCTTCGTCTGAACGTGATTGTCTGCGTGTTCTTCTGGTAACACTTCTAGTTAAATCAGTCCCCAATAATGAAATGTGTTCCTCCATTGGGGCTACTTTGGTTTCTGGTTTATCCTCAACACTGCCATGTAGATCCTTGCGAAAGATGTCTGAAACATCACCTCCAGAAAGAGACTGCCGTCTTTTTCGAGGTGTCTTCTTTTCCGGGATATCTACAGCAACATCACCAATAACAGACTTTCGTCTCCTGCGAATTGGGGTTTTACTCGCTCCTGCAATATGGTCTTTTGGGGAGGTTTTCAGCGAACAAGAATTTTCTACATCCTCTGCAATAGTTTCTAAGCCTTCAGAAGCTGAACTTCGTCTTGTAGACCTCCTAGTTCTTGATGGGGTAGCTTTAGTTGGAGTGGATTTTAAAGGCATGTCTTTAAGTGGGGTATTGATTTTGAGAGGTTCACCTTTGCCCTCAATTTCTAAATCTGTGGGTAATGTAGCTTTATCTTTTTCTTCTACAATAGTTTCTAAAATTTCTTCTGAAATACTTTTTCGAGTAGATCGTCTCCTTGGTCTACTTGGCGTGACCACAGCAATTTCCCCAGTATTTTGCCTTGCAGTTGGTGATACAGTAAGAGGCAACACATGCTGAGTAGGTGGTATTGAAGAAACATCGAGATCTAATGCAGGAAGTGCTGCACTGCAAGAGACATTTTGAGAGGATAAATCTAATTTCTGGGAGACTTTCTGTAGTTCTTCAGTATCTACCAAGTCTTCTTTGGGTCTTTTAGAGGGAGTGATGCGGGGTGTTCTTGATGATGATCTTGATTTTGTGACTGGTGTTCGAACTTGGAGAATTTTTCTTCCAGATCGGGTCATCATCTCAGGAGTAGAAGGTGATGAGGTACTAAGCCTAAGACTTCGCCTCAAAGGGGTTCCTTTTGCAGTTTTACTTGACGGGCTTGTTTTATAAGCTTTAGGTGGTGTTTCTATAATTTGTTTCTCCAAGGGCTTGGTAGGAGTAGCTGGAAGATTAATTTCTGTTCCCTTTAGCAGTGAGGGTTTCAAAGCAATCTTCTCTTCAACTTCAAGTGTAACTTCAGATTCATGTTCTGAAATCAATTTAGGTGAAACTGCTAGGACAGTTCCTTCAACAGATTTGGTACAAGAATCTCTATTATCATATTGTCTTGAGCTTGTCTTTGTCAATACCGTTAAATCTGTTTCCTTGCTAGCAATGGTAGAAGTGTCTTCATTGTCACTCTGTTTCAAGAATTTCTTTGGTGAAGCTTGTACACATACCTCTTCTTGAGTTTTAGGTGACTTATTTGTAGTGTCACTTTGTCTCAAGCTTCTCTTTGGTGTTGAAGGAGATTCTGTTGCAACACCTTTCAAACTTGTCTCTGTAGTGGTGGTTATTATAATATCAGGAAGTTTTGAACCTGTGCTTGTGGAAATTGTAAAGTCTTTTTCCTCACTAATTTTAAGAGGAATGGATGCAGAGCTAGCAAGCCCAGAACTTTTCTTTGTAGAGACTGCTGGAATTACTTCCCTGGCAGGTAATGCTTGCATATTTGGAACATCAGTCCGACTCAAATTTGTCACAGAAATTTTTGGGGAACTTTCATTGCCACAAGTGTCTTGAGCATTGTTAGTTCTTGAACTACTTGATAATAAGGTATTTCTTTCAATTTTACTTGCAGAGTCTGCAACATCAGTTTTCTTTGGTGATACTGATGCCAAAGTTTCCTCTGCATTATTAGTAAAGAAATTTCTGTCCAAAGTGATCTTTGTATCATTTTCTAGTATAGTTGCAACTGGCTCTTTCTGTTGATCTGTCACTGCTGAGTGTCCTAGTTCCATGGATTCATGTGAAGAGTTTGACAGTAACTGAGAGTTTGATCCAATATTATGGTCAACATATGGTTTTTCATCAAAAGTTTTTAATTCATTAGCTCCATTTGTACACTCTGGCTCCAAGTCAGTACACTGATTTTCGCCTTTCATTTCTATATCCTCACTCTCTGTCTCAAGGATATTTCCTCCTATATCTGTTTCCTGCAGTAAAGGAACTGGATTTTTAAATGAATGTCTTTTTTCATCCTTATCTTCTAGTTCTAAAGCTGTCTTACTAGTATTCTTTTCAGACTGAGATATTTGGGGAAATTCATCTAAATGAACACTTCCATTAGATTGGGTAAATTCTCTGTCTTCTATAACAGCTTCAGTTTCTTCTTCATTTACGTCATTTAAAGTTTCTTTATGCTTAGAAGCAGCTGTAACTATTTCACCCATCTCGCTTGAAATTTCAAAATTAGAGGTATCACTTCCCTGTACCTCATTTGAAAAGGCCGGCAAAAATTCCAAGTCTGCTGCTACTTTACCTTGGTCTTGTTTAGAAATATGTCCTTCAATAACCTCTTTCAGCCCAACTGCTTTATCTGCTACTACACCTTCTAGCTCCTTGCCTATTTCTTCAGGAATATTGGCTTTAACTCCATGTTGTTCATGAATATTAATTTCCATAACTGTTTCTTTATCAATTCTATCCTCATGTACTTCAACATCTTTAGCCTGAGAGGATGTTTCATTGCTACTATTATCTTCACTCTCAGAATCTGAGAAATGCAAGGGACTAAAGTGTTCAGATGTTTCAAAGGAAATGCACCTATCGTCTTCACTTATAGTTTCGGTAATCATTTCCTCATCCTCAGTAATCTGACTATCTGCATTCATAATCTGTTTATTAACTACACAGGTTTCTGTCACAGCTTTATCAGTTATCATCACTGTCATTTCCTCTTTCTTAATTTCATCTTCATTTTGTTCTTGCCTTAAAGGTTCTTTTGTTCTTAACAATATTTCTCTGTATGTAGTCTTTTCTGTCTTCTCTTTAGTTAAGTAATTTTCTAAGACAAATTTCCTTGGAGAAGCAATGATGTTTTCCTTTTCAATTTGGGGTGATTTAGTTTCCTGACTGATGGATTTTTCTTCTTTTCCCCTAGTATCTAGTTTAGCTTGCACTGTATCATATACTGTCTCCTTTAAATCATGTACCTTCTTACTGGAGTTATTTTGTGCAGCAGATATTTCTGGTTCACTCTCAGAATCAGAAAATTCAAGAGGAATAATGATTTGAGAATTATTCAAAGATACATTTAGTTCATTTTCGTGATTTTCAGCTTCGTGTTGTGTAATATTTCCAATGTTTTTTTCTGTACCTTTCTTATCTTGCTCAATTTTTTCCAAATGTTCGACAGTTCCAGAAGTATAGGACATTTCTTCACAATTACTGACATCAGAATGCTTAACATGCCAGACTGTCCCATCTTGTCTTTTTTCAGTAACTTCATTACATATAGCAGTATTTTCCTTCTCAGAAATTTCACTACCTTCTTCATCCATATTCCCATGAATCTTACCACAGTCTACCTCCTTATCATCTTCCTGAGGCTTAGCATTCTCCTCTTCCTCCTCCTCCTCCCCATCCTTCTCCTCATCCTCCTCAACAGATTTTTCAACATCACACTGTAACTCCCCCTCACTGCTTTCATGCCTCTCCTCACACACAACATCCTCTTCACTATCTCCAACTTCTTTTGATCTTTCTGCAGCTCCATCTTCACTATCCTCAAATTCATTAAATATATCTGTTTCTGCTTCACTCTCTTCGGCTTCTTTTGATCTTTCTGCTCCTTCTAATTCTTCATTACTATCTAATTCGTCATCACTTCTAATTCTTGCATCAGAATCCAAATTGGCACATACTTTTGGAGGCTCTTCTTCAGTAAAGCTGTAGAATGTATCATTGATGGTGCTGTCTTTACCTGCATATTCAAAGAAATATTCTTTTTCTTCATGGGCCTCCTCTTCATCTACACACTCCTTAAAGAAGCTGAAAGAGAGAGAGTAATGAATAATGGTTCTAAAATCAAAATAACTTATAGAAAAAACAATATCAGAACAACATAGCCTAAATTTGGTGCTAACACATTTTTAAGATACTGATATGTAATTTTACTGAATAAAAACACTCTGCCACCCACATTCAGCTCATGTATCATCAGCAATACACATTCCTATACCCATATTACCCATAAGCTTGACTCCCAGAGGAATCTGCTAACCTCTTATGTAATACAGGTGACGTGCCAGATGTTTTGGCAACACAGCCATGGAGTGGTTGACGAGGCGTTGGGATCCCAGAATCCGGATTCCTGACACAAGAGTAAGGGAATGATTGCTAACTTTATAAAGTGAGAAAGAAAGCAAATACTTCATCCATAAGCTGCTGCTGCTGTTGTTGAGCCTAAAATATGACAGTTTATGACCTCTAATCTCAATAAAGAGAAATCTACATTCTAATATTTTAATGTTGTGCTTTAAAATTTTAAGTTAAAAATATTAACAAGTCCTTCCTGAATAACTCATAATTTTAAATCCAATTTACAGTGAATTTTTATATATAATTTCACAGATAAAACATTATAAAAAAATATGCTATATAATAGATTTAAATAAATAGCCTATTTATAAAGAGTAAATTAAAGGAAACATTAGTAATAACAAGACTTTATTTAAAGAAAAAATAAGAAAGCCTCTAACTTGCCAGTTTAATTAATCTTGGATATTACTAAGAATTAGACATTTATGTACAGTTCAAGACATTTATTAGAGGAAACGTTCTGCCACTCACAGCGAAACGTTCCTCTAATAAATGTAATAAACTGCACATAAGTGTCTTTTTCCACATCTTGTCGGTATCACCATACTATTTCTCACTAAGAATTACTTTTGTCAAAGCAAAGCATATAGGGTAAATAAGCTTTGGCTTGTAAATTCTTTTTGTTAAAAGCAGTTTAACAAAACATGTATGACCAGTTTTGAGGGTTCTATCCCTGCAGCCCTGCCTGAAGCCAGATTTCTTTGTTGACTGCCTATTCAACCAGGCTGTTGATGGCAACGGCCTACAGCATGTAAGCACTGTTTCAGAAGGCTGGCCGCCTTTGCCAAAAAAACAAGTGCAGGAGGGCCTAGCTATATGGTGTTTTGCCTTATGGCTCTCTGGTAATACGGACATTTCAAATCATGACCAAAACTCGTTATACGGCTCCCCTCATGTGACTTTCTAATATGGTCACAGTGCCCCACGTAGTTTGTTTACATTCTCCGTGAGCTCCATGAACACTGTCTCTACACTATGTCTGGAAACTTTCCAAATTTCAAGTGTTTTAAAGTTATTTCATTATTTATATACATATACTCTTATATATACATATACTATATACATAAACTTTTTTTTTTCAACAAGTCGGCCGTCTCCCACCGAGGCAGGGTGACACAAAAAGAAAGAAAATCCCCAAAAAGAAAATACTTTCATCAACATTCAACACTTTCACCTCACTAGGTTTTAGTTTCTCTATTTGCCTGAGGACCATGTCACTAGTTACTGCAATCGTGCATAGTTCATCATCCTGTTCTACATACATGTAATTTATTATTTCAGGAATTTCACTAGTATTTTCCTGGGTAAAAAACTGAGAGGAAGTAGGTACTGAAGATTTCACACATATCCTTATCACTGTCAGTGATCTGACCAGAGTTACTCCTAAGTGGGCCTATCTTATCCTTAATCCTACTTCTGCATACCTGAAAGAACCCTTTTGGGTTAGTCTTCGAATCCCTTGCGACCTTAGCCTTATAATCCCTTTTTGCTTTTCTTATTCCTTTCTTTATTTCTCTCTTTAACTGAATATATTGATTTCTTAACTGACCATCCCCTCTTTTGATATGCCTATATAAGCCTCTCTTTTGACCAATGAGATCGTTTAATCTATTATTCATCCATTTGGGATCATTTTTGTTGCATCTAATTTCCCTACTCTGAACAAAAGTTGTCTGGGCAGCTAGAAATATGCTCTGAAAAACAAAGATGATCATAAATCTGGAGGTTGTCTGGTAATGAAAAAGCAGATTTTTTGGTTCCCAGATTAGAATAAAGCTGCTGCCCAGGATCTTGTAAATATTTGGTCAAGACAGTACACAAGAAGGTAAATGCCTGTACAACAGAGAAAACTTTTGAACTGCTGAAGGTGAAGAAAAATCCAAGAGTTCACTGTATGAAACACTGGAAGGTCTAAGGACCCAACTAAAGATAACCTATTGTGAGCACAAGAAATCACCCAGTCAACTACTTTAACTATCCAATAAAGTGATCAGAAACTGGTAATTTGGCCACTTTCACAGATTTCAAAATAGGGTCCAGAATAAACAATGCAGGCATTTCTTCCACTAAAATAACATTTCCTCAGTTCATCAGTTATGTTCCCAGGCTTTACACATGAATTCCTTTTTGAATATTTATTCACACATAAAAAAATTGAAGATTTACAGTTATGCATTATTATAATAATTGTATAAATAATGTCAGTGCCTTCGTGAATGAACATTAAACTGCCTAGTTGGAAGTGTATTGGACGAGTGATGTGATTTGTTTACTCTGGAATATTGGCAAAAATTGTAATTGTTTTACATGATGGTAGGATTGCTGGTGTCCATTTTTCTGTTTCATGAACATGCAAGGTTTCAGGTATGTCTTGCTACTTCTACTTACACTTAGGTCACACTACACATACATGTACAAGCATATATATACAGATATACCCCTCTGGGTTTTCTTCTATTTTCTTTCTAGTTCTTGTTCTTGTTTATTTCCTCTTATCTCCATGGGGAAGTGGAACGGAATTCTTCCTCCGTAAGCCATGCGTGTTGTAAGAGGCAACTAAAATGCCAGGAGCAAGGGGCTAGTAACCCCTTTTCCTGTATATATTACTAAATGTTAAAGGAGAAACTTTCGTTTTTCCTTTTGGGCCACCCCGCCTTGGTGGGATACAGCCGGTGTGTTGAAAGAAATATTGGCAAAAATTTTAATTGTTTTACATGATGGTAGGATTGCTGGTGTCCATTTTTCTCACATGAACATGCAAGGTTTCAGGTATGTCTTGTTACTTCTACTTACCCTTAGGTCACACTACACATACATGTACAAGCATATACAGTGGACCCCCGCATAACGATCACCTCTGAATACGACCAATTATGTAAGTGCGTTTGTACGTGTATGTTTGGGGGTCTGAAATGGACTAATCTACTTCACAATATTCCTTATGGGAACAAATTCGGTCAGTACTGGCACCTGAACATACTTCTGGAGTGAAAAAATATCGTTAACCGGGGGTCCACTGTATATACATACATACCCCTCTGAGTCTTCTATTTTCTTTCTAGTTCTTGCTTATGTCCTCTTATCTCCATGGGGGAGTTGAACAGAATTCTTCCTCCGTAAGCCATGCGTGTCGTAAGAGGTGGCTAAAATGCCGGGAGCAAGGGGCTAGTAACCCCTTCTCCTGTATATATTACTTAATGTAAAAGGAGAAACTTTTGTTTTTCCTTTTGGGCCACCCCACCTCGGTGGGATACGGCAGGTGTATTGAACGAAAGATCGGCAAAAATCTAATATTTCCGCTACTTTCAGCTCTATTTCAAGCCATTTACAATCAAAATCATCTCTATTTCTGTAATATCTTTCATTCTATAAAATGAGACCAAGAAACTGGGAATACAACCATAAAAACCATACAAAAGTACACCACAAAGTCGCTATTTTAAACAAAGAATACAGTCCAAGTTTTTTCTCATTATGCACTGCATGCTGTAGGATTTTTTATATGGTGCAAACTTATCGCACAGACCCACTCTCTCATATCAAGGTCCAAATTTACCGCCCATAGCTTATCCGAGTGAGATGAGCTCACGGCATAGCACTATGGCAAGAACACTGGCTTCAAACCCATAGAACAGCAGCACGGACACTGAAAAGGTTAAAGGAATTAAGTATTGGACAGAGTAATCTAGGTCATACATTTGGTATAAAGAAACATGCTATAATTGAAAAAAAAAAAAAAAAAAAAAAAAAAAAAATACAGGATCATAACAGAAAATTTAAAAGGTTTCTTTACACCACTACCATGTGTACTACAGGCTCTTGCTCTTTAGAGCAAGAGCCTGTACTACACATGGAAATTAAGGCAAAAAGATACTAGAAAGTTTTTTCATAGTGGCATATCAGAAGGTAATCAAAAGGCAGTTTCTGCTTCAGCTCTGCACACACAAAATCACTATACAACAATTGATGACTGGACACCACTAATACTTCTCTACCACTGTAACTATCAAGCAGCAATCACAAATATGCCTGGCCTTCCCTTTCTCTTACCTCTTCCCCCACTGAAAGTTAAGGTTAGTGAAGGAATAAAATATTTAAGGATAGTGTGAATGATGGTGAAAGTATTTTTTTTTAGGGAAGGGGGGGGGGGGGTTCCACCCTATCTCAGAGGGAGACGGCCATCTTTAAAAAGAAGAGACATTTATAGAATCACCGACAAATATGTAAGCATCTGATATAATATGGTTATCATAACTTATAGTTAATTTATTAACATTTATTTTCCTAGCTGAAAAATTTTCATATTAGATCACGGTCAGTAGGAAAGGCTCAAAAGCTGGACACCATATACTATTACTCACATCCTTTTCACAGTACAAGGAACAAAGCAATGAGACAGAGGGAAGAAGGGAAAAGGAAGGAGGCAAAACAAGGGGACAGAGAGGGAAGATTAGGAATATGGGAGGAATCAGGAAGAATGAGGGATACAAGGGCAATAGTAAGGGGATATAAGGTATGATACAAGGGCAATGGTAATGGGATAAGGAACAAGAAAAAAAGTTGAAGAGGGATGATAAGAGAAGGAAGAAAAGGGGGAAAAAGGGAGAGGGACAAAACAAGGAGAGAGGAAGGGGAGAAGGGAAGGGGGAGGGGAAGAGGAGGAAGAGAATAGAAAAAGGCAGATAGAGCATAGGAGGAGGAAAGGGATAGGAAGAGGAATGATGGACAGTGAGGACAGAAAATGAATGAATGAAGGAGAGAGGGAGGAAGGAGGGCAGAAATATGAGGAAGAAGAGGAAGAGGTGGTGGTGGAGATGGATGAAGAAATTAGGGGTTGGAGGAAGCGGCTGTATACTTACAACAGAGACAATGAACACCAAGTACAGTGATAAGCAATATGGACATGCATCTAAGACAACTAGACACTTCTTGACACTCTACCAAAGCATATACATGTATATTACACAAAGCAATAATATTGCATTATACATTCACCTTAGAGGATTCATCTTCCGTGTGTGAATATCTCGGTGAGGGAACAGCGAGGTGGATTTACGCGTTATTTCCTCTAACTTTTCAAGAACACGTTCTCTACCCTTTTCCTTTGCTTCTGTCTCATACAATGTGTTCTGTGCTTCCATTTCTGTCTCCTTGTGTTCATCATCTGCTTCCATTTCTGTCTCCTTGTGTTCATCATCTGCTTCCATTTCTGGCTCCTCTTCGTCCAGTGTTTCCTTCTCAGAGTCCTCATCCTCTGTCATAGAATGATGATTAGCCTCAACTTCCTTTTCATCCATAGTTTGTTTCTTTGCCACAGGCTCATCAACTCTCATTTTGGGAAGATGGAAGCGCAGTTGCTTGGGTGTCAGGCTAGAATCATTAGCCCGGCTTGGTAATGCATCTTCAGGTGTTCCTGAAGTAAAATAAAATTTATGCTGTTAAAGTGTCAAATGAGTGTGAAATGTAAACCTGTAAAATATTTTACACTCTGAGAGGATTGCTGAGCCTTTCTTCCTTTCATGAACACAATGTCACAGGTAAATGTTACAAACTCTACTCTCAATCTTGCAATATTAACTTTCCAACCTAGGAGGCCTGGTCCGAGACCAGTCATGGGAAAGATAATCCCCAGAACCATTAACAGATAGGAAATAACTAAAATGAAGATCAGAGGTCTTTAATACCGTTCCATTAAAATTACAGGTAATGATAAATGAAGTGTCAAACATTTAGTTATACCGAGATCTAAAGCCCCCTTTTTTTTTTTAACACGACAGCCATCTCCCACCGAGGCAGGGTGACCCAAAAAAGAAAAACACTTTCACCATCATTCACACCATATCACTGTCTTTGCAGAGGCACCCAGATATAATTTAGATGTCATTCTAAACAGTCCATATATATGGAGATAGAAATGACACAGAATATTAAGCTGCACATTTCAACCTTCAGCAGTTAGAGGATACAGTTCTCATATTCTATTTCACTTGTAAGCTTTGATCACATGAGGGGATTAACAGACCCTCAACTCCAAGAGGAAACTGCACATATTTTAACCCATTTCTAATTGACAGAGCTTTGGTGCTTGCATTACACCTACGGCTGCAAGCAACATATGCCTGGCAAATCAGGCCATCAATCAGAAGGCATACAAGGAGTGAAATACAAGAGCAGAGATGACCCAAACTCCCTCAAAGTTGATTCAATGGATATTGAACCTCATGTTTTAGTTACTAAGTTAACATTAAAAAGGTTTCATGTGACTTGAGTACCAAACCTAGAAGTTAGAGTTCAACCACCTTCAAGATGGTTAATGGAAGACAAGTCAGAATTTTAACCTTCACAAAGGAACAGCACAACATCCTCCAATAGCACATGCACAGCTGAGCAGCACACACACTAAAACTCCCCTTCATACAGATGAATAGGAGGTCCAGCAGCTAGAGCCCAAGGTTTAACCCTTAAATGGTCCAAACGTATATATACGTTTTTCAACATTTGAAAGTACAGTGGACCCCTGGTATTCGATGGCATCGGTATTAGATAAATCCGGTATTCGATGCATTATATCGCAAAAATTTTTCCTCGGTATTCGATTGAAAACCCAGTATTCGATACGATTCGTACGAGACCTGTCCACATGTGGCCTGAACTGCCCCACGTGTGCCAGTGTTTACAAGCAGGCCAGTGTGCGCGCATCTAAGGATACATTCGGTACATTCCATATTATCACTATGTTTGGTGCTTGTTTCTGCAAAATAAGTCACCATGGGCCCCAAGAAAGCTTCTAGTGCCAACCCTGTGGTAAAAAGGGTGAGAATTAGTATGGAAATTAAGAAAGATTTTGAAGAGTTTGGGGCTAACCCTGAGAAGCCTATACCAGTTGTGGAATACATTGTGCCTACTTCAAAAATTAAGGGAATGTGTGCACAGTGGGTTGAAGTGCAAACCTTTATGGATGAAAATCACCCTAACACAGCTATTACAATGACAATGTTGTGGCCCATTTTAGACAAATCGTAAAGGAACGGGAGGTACAGAGCTCTATGGACAGATTTGTTGTGCGACAGAGGTCCAGTGACTCTCAAGCTGGTCCTAGTGGCATTAAAAGAAGAAGGGGAGTAACCCTGGAAAAGGACTTGCTACCTCAAGTCCTAATGGAAGGGGATTCCCCTTCTAAACACTAACACCTCTCCCCTCCTTCCATCCCATCAATCATCACCAGATCTTCATTAAAGTAAGTGTCAATTATTTTATTGTTATTGTAATTATTCTATTGCATTAAACTTAATATTTCATGTAGTAAATTTTTTTTTTCATACTTTTGGGTGTCTTGCACAGATTAATTTGATTTTCATTATTTCTTATGAGGAAAATTGATTCGGTTTTCGATATTATCAGTATTCGATGAGCTCTGAGGAACGGATTAATATCGAATACCGGGGGTCCACTGTATGTAAAAAAATGTACATCTTTTTTTTTTTTTACATTTGAAAATGTGTAAAAAACATAGATCTACACTTGGAGCATTACGGATTTGAACGTCAATCTATTTGGACCGTTTAAGGGTTAAATAGCCAAGTTGGACCTGGAGCTCAATCTTTAAAAGCAGACCCAGAGGCTGGAGTTCAACACCCTCAAACAGCTAGACAGAAAGCAGGTCCAGCATTTACCTGTGACTAGTTTCTAGAGTTCTACATCCACAGCTCAATCTGAAGCCAGGCTTCATTGACCACCCATCTAAAAACCTTGCTGATCAGGCACAGACTTCAAGCATTTATCCAGTTTCCTCATGAACACCTGTTCCGTTAATCCCTTGACTGTCGCAACCCCAAATCCTGATGTGTTTCCTGGTCTCACAAAATTAAAAAAAAAAAAAAAAAAAAAAAAAAAAAAAAAAAAAAAAAAAAAAAAAAAAAAAAAAATCTTATGAAATGTTAAGAGAATCTCTTCCCGATTACGACACCAAAAGAATGAAATTTGATGGAAAACTGACGGAATTACGCTCTCGCGAAGTTAGCGACCTCGGCAATATTTACGAATAGGCGATTTCGCCCACTTTGAGCCTTATTTTCGGCTAATTCCAATGTTCCAGTTGACCAAACTCATAGCTATTTCTTTAGAACTCCATTTTTTCTATCGACTGAGTACAAGAAACTGCTCATTTGCCAATTTCAACTACCCAATAACGTGGTCAGAAATTTGCAATTTGGCCAATTTCATGAAAATTAAAAAATATGACAATTTCAAAATAGGGTCCAGAGTGAACAATGCAGACATTCCTGGCTCTAAAATAACATTTTCTTTGTTCATCAGTCATGTCTCCAGGTCCCTCTGATATTACTCTTGCTTTCTATTTTGAATTTTTATTCAAACAAAAAATAGAAGATTTACTATTATGCAGACTATTGTAATAATTGTATAAATGATGTCAACCCATTCATGACTGCATATTAGAATGGCTACTTGGACATTTATTGGAAAATGACATCATTTGTTTACTTTTGAACATCGGCAAAAATCAAACAATTCCCCTACTTTGAGCTCCATTTCAAGGTTCTTTTCACAGTAAAACCAATCAAAATCACCTCTGTTTCTATAATATGTTTTCTATTATATCAAATGAGACGAAAAAAAAAATAGACTACAACCATAAATACTATACGAAAATAGACCACAAAGTCAGCATTAAAAAAAAACAAAAAAAAAAAACAACGGTTGGAGTTTTTTTTTCTCATTATGCACTGCATGCTGCAGGTTTTTTTTATATGATGCACACTGACCACACGGACCCATTCTCTCACATGTGGGCCTACCAGCTTTCTCCTGCTCGATTTGAAGTAACTAGAATTTATGAGTAGTATATATACGTCAAAAACGGTGGCTCATAAGACGTATATATACGACCGAAACAGTCAAAGGGTTAATATTTCTTGTATTTGCTGGTAGAAGGTTGAAGTAGTGAGTCTTGGATTTTGACAGTGTCCTTTTAATGTACTTAGACCTGTTTTTCATTGGATTTATTTCATGCAACCTGCCTGGAGTCTACCTGGACGTTATTACAGGCCTCCCGGTGGACCAGGGCCTGATCAACCAGGCTGTTACTGCTGGCTGCACGCAGTCCAACGTACGAACCACAGCCCGGCTGATCCGGCACTGACTTTAGGTATTTGTCCAGCTCTCTCTTGAAGGCAGCCAGGGGCCTATTGGTAATTTCCATTATGCTTGGTGGGAGGCTGTTGAACAGTCTTGGGCCCCGCACACGTATGGTGTTTTCTCTTAGTGTACCAATGGTGCCCCTACTTTTAATTGGGGGTATTTTGCATTGCCTGCCCAGTCTCTTACTTTTGTAGGAAGTGATTTCTGTGTTCAGATTCAGGACCATTCCTCCTAGGATTTTCCAAGTGTAGATTATGATATACAATACAGTGGACCCCCGGTTCGTGATGCCATCGGTATCTGATAAATCCGGTATGCAATACATTCTAATGCAAAAATTTTGACTCAGTTCCCATTAAAAAACTCAGTACACGATTCGTTCGAGACGTGTCCACGAGTGTGCCAGTGTTTACAAGCCAGCCAGTGTGCTCGCATCTAAGGATACATTCGGTACATTCCATATTATCACAGTGTTTTTGGTGCTTGTTTCTGCAAAATAAGTCACCATGGGCCCCAAGAAAGCTTCTAGTGCCAACCCTTCGAGAAAAAGGGAGCTAATGACTACTGAAATGAAGAAAGAGATAATTGCTCAGTACGAAAGTGGAGTGCGTGTCAGAGCTGGCCAGGTTGTATACAAAACCCCAATCAACCATCTCTACTACAGTGACCAGGAAAACGGCAATCAAGGAAGCTGTTCTTGCAAAAGGTGCAACTGTGATTACAAAACAGCGACCGCAAGTGTTAGAAGATGTTGAGAGACTGTTATTGGTGTGGATAAATGAAGAACAGATAGCAGGAGATAGCATCTCTCAAGTGATCATTTGTGAAAAGGCTAGGCAGTTGCATGACGATTTGGTAAAGAAATTGCCTGCGACTAGTGGTGATGTGAGTGAATTTAAGGCCAGCAAAGGTTGGTTTGAAAGATTTAAGAATCGTAGTGGCATACATAGTGTGATTAGGCATGGTGAGGCTGCCAGTGACTCTCAAGCTGGTCCTAGTGGCATTAAAAGAAGAAGGGAAGTAACCCCGGAAAACGACTTGCTACCTCAAGTCCTATTGGAAGGGGATTCCCCTTCTAAACATTAACAACTTCGACACTCTCCCCTCCTCCCATCCCATCAATCACCACCAGATCTTCACTAAAGGTAAGTGTCATGCATTCTATTGTTAGTAGAGTACATACTACAAACTGTGCATGTCTTCTTCAGTTTGTGTGCATTAAACTTAATATTTCATGTGGTAAAATTTTTTTTTTTTTTCATACTTTTGGGTGTCATGCATGGATTAATTTGATTTCCATTAGTTCTTATGGGGAAAATTCATTCACTTTCCGATATTTTTGGTTTACAATGAGCTCTCAGGAACGGATTAATATAGCGAACTGGGGGTCCACTGTCTCTCTCTCTCCTGCGTTCCAACGAGTACAGGTCAAGTGCTTCCAAGCTTTCCCAGTAGTGAAGGTACTTGACAGAACTTATACGTGCAGTAAAGGTTCTCTGGACACACTCTAGATCTGCAATTTCATCTGCTTTGAATGGAGATGTTAATGTACAGCAGTATTCCAGCCTAGAGGGAACAAGTGATTTGAAAAGGATCATCACTGGCTTGGCATCTCTCATTTTGAATGTTCTCATTATCCATCCAATCATTTTCTTTGCACTTGTGATTGTGGCACTGTTGTGATCCTTAAAAGTGAGATCTTCAGACATTACCACTCCCAGGTCCCTTACATTATTTTTCTGCTCTATTGTATGGCCAGAGTTTGTAGTATACTCTGTTCTAGTTATTATTCCCTCCAGTTTTCCATAATGGAGAGATTGGAATTTGTCTTCATTGAACATCATATTGTTTTCCGTTGCCCACTGAAAAACTTAGTTTATATCTTCTTGGAGGTTAACAGTGTCCTCAATAGATGACAGCCTCATACAGATCCTAGTATCGTCTGCAAAGGATGATATGGTGCTGTGGGTTACATCTCTGTCTATGTCTGATATGAGGATGAGGAACAGGATGGGGGCAAGTACTGTGCCTTGTGGAACAGCTCTTCACTATGGCAGCCTCCGATTTAACTCTGTTGACCACTACTCTTTGTGTTCGATTGGTTAGGAAGTTGAAGATCCATCTCCCCACTTTGCCAGTTATTCCTTTAGCGCGTACTTTGTGCGCTATTACGCCACAATCGCACTTGTCAAACGCTTTTGTAAAGTCTGTGTATATTACATCTGCATTCTGATTTTCTTCCAGTGCATCCAAGGCCATATCATAGTGATCCAGTAGTGATCTAGTTCAGGGCAGGAGCGACCTGCCCTGAACCCATGTTGCCCTGGATTGTGTAGTTTTTGGGGAACCAGGTAATTTGCAATCCTGCTTCTTAGCACTCTTTCAAAGATTTTTATGATGTGGGACGTTAGAGCTATTGGTCTATAGTTCTTAGCTAATGCTTTGCTGCCACCTTTATGGAGTGGGACTATATCCGTTGTTTTAAGTGACTCTGGAATTTCACCCATGTCCAAGCTCCTCCTCCATAGTGTACTTAGGGCACGTGAGAGGGGTTTCTTGCAGTTCTTAATGAACACAGAGTTCTACGAGTCTGGGCCTGAGTGCATGGGCATGTTGTCAATTGCTTTTTCAAAGTCTATCAGAGTTAGGGTAATGTTGGAAATCTGGCATACATTTATGGAGCTTTGAAGCTCATTCATGAAGAAATCATTTGGGTCATCGCTCCTCAGACCGATTAGTGGCTCACTAAACACAGAGTCGTGCTGGGATTTCAGTATTTCACTCATTTCCTTGTTGTCATCCATGTAAGTCACATCCTGTCTGAGTAAGGGCCCCGATAGTTCAGTTCCATAGTCAGGAACTAAGGAACTGAACTTCTCCAGGCTGAGGGACTGACAACCTCAAATTCTACGACTTCAAGGGTGATGGACTGATTACATCGTCTTCACATCTCTAAAGTTCCTGCCTACTTTCTGTATTCGACTGAAGAAGCCTACTGTGTAGGCGAAACGTTTCGGAATAAAGTAGCCTAACTGTTGCCTATGTGTCTTACCTACCAACCTGTCGGTATTGTATACTATTTTGATCATCATTTGTGGTGTTCAGCAACTCCATGCAGATGAGCGACTCTTTGACATACAGGCCAACCCCCCCTTGTTGCCTGTTCTTTCTGTCACATCTAAAAAGGTTGTACCCACTTATCCATATTTCACTGTCAAAGACTAATTTATTTACAAGCTGAAAAACTCTGTTGATGTTTTGCAGTTTTTTTGTGTATTTTACCGAGGAATGTTTCAAGCATACTCGTTTTATATCATTCACAAAGCCTTATAATAAGCTATATACATGTATAGTTTTCTTTTAGAAATAGTAAAGGCACCAGGACTATTCCTTGTGCTACAGAACTTTTTACCATGCTCACACTAGATTTAGTTTTGTTTGCTACTTGGTACATCATTCTGTGATATGTTAGAAATTTAAATATCCATTTCCCTACATTAACAAATCCATTCAAAGCAGGTGAAATCGCAGATCTAGAGAGTGTACAGAGAACCTTTACTGCACGTATAAGTTCTGTCGAGCACCTTAACTACTGGGAACACTTGGAAGCACTTGACTTGTACTCGTTGGAACGCAGGAGGGAGAGACGCATCATAATCTACACTTGGAAAATCCTGGAAAGAATGGTCCCAAATCTGCACACAGAAATCACTCCCTACGAAAGTAAAAGACTGGGCAGGCGATGCAAAATGCCCCCAATTAAAAGTAGGGGCGCCATTGGTACACTAAGGGAAAACACTATAAGTGTCCGGGGCCCAAGACTGTTCAACAGCCTCCCATCAAGCATTAGGGGAATTGCCAATAAACCCCTGGCTGCCTTCAAGAGAGAGCTGGACAGATACCTAAAGTCAGTGCCAGATCAGCCGGGCTGTGGCTCGTACGTTGGACTGCGTGCGGCCAGCAGTAACAACCTAGTTGATCAGGCCCTGATCCATTGGGAGGCCTGGTCATGGACCGGGACGCGGGGGCGTTGATCCCCGGAATAACCTCCAGGTATTCCAGTGGAACCTCGGTTTTTGTGATTAATCCATTCGAAAAAGTCTGACAAAAAACCGAATCGCACGAAAACTGAAGCAACATTTCCCCTAAGAAATAATGTAAATCCAATTAATCCATTCCAGACACCCAAAAAATACATTTTATAGAGAATAACTATACTTTTACATACAGAAAACAATGAGAAATAAATATAAATGACTAATGAAATGGATAAATGAACATTTAACATAACTTTTACCTTTATTGAAGACTCTTGTTGCCGTATGGAAGACGGCGAGGAGGGGAGAGGGAGGAGGGGAGAGGGAGGAGGAGAGGTTACTGTTTGGAAGGGATATCCCCATCCATAAGGAATTCAGGTATCAAGACCCTATCCGGGGTTACTTCCCTTCTTTGTCTTTTACTGGCGTAGGACCAGCTTGAGTCAATGAACCCCGTCACACAAAAAATCTGCCCAGACAGGTCTGTTTCTGGTGTCTCTTTAAAATTTGCCTAAAATGGGACAAGGCATTGTCATTGAATATGTTGCAGACACAGCTTGCAACAGCTTTGTTAGGGTGATATTTCTTCACAAAACTTGGCAACTCATTCCACTTTACACACATGCCCTTAATCACTGAAGAAGGCACATTCTTCCCTCTCTCCTCCTCCTCCTCCTCCTCTGAAGCAATTCAGAGGCGGGTAGGTGGACGAGTTTGGAAGGGACCATTTTCAACTGTACAAAAACCGAGCGGATGTACAAAAACTGGGACAAAATTTTGATGAAAAAAGTTATCGAAACCCAAATCGCACAAAAACCAGGGCATTTGAAAACTGAGGTTTGATTGTACGTATATCCTGTGCTTCCGTGGTCAAATTTCTCAAATGATTTAGTCAGATCCATGTTCTAAATAACCAAACCATCTTAACCTTCACCCTTCAAAATATATCTTTCGTTACCCTACCTGTCTGCTAATTTCTACACATCTAATTCTCTGCACAATATTTACATTACACTTTGCTCTCAAACAAAAGAAATTTAAATTTGAAGTCTATGAAAAAAAAAATATTCAAGATTTGTTTTAAACACATTGGCCATCTCCTGCCAAAGTAGAGTGAAAAAAACAACTATCACTGTCCAGAACCCAAGCGGTATAAAAAGTGCATCCCTACTTAGGATGCCTATTGATGCTGCAATATCAACACAGATAAGCACAGTAACTGAAATAATACTCACTAACAAAATGCAATATTTCAGCAAACACTAAAAAACAAAGGAGAACTCCTAGATAGCAATTAATTCCTTGTATTCTGGATGACTTCAGTCACTTACCTCCAATGGACTTTTTGGCAGAGAGTCGTGGAAACACAGGGATGACCGATTCACTTATTGGAGCTGGGCTTAGCGGTCTTTGCACCATCTGTCGCACCTGTTGTTTTCAACATTATTGTTAAACATTTAGAAAACCTTTAAAGCAATATTTTTTTTAACACGTCGGCTGTTTCCCACCAAGGCAAGGTGACCCAAAAAGAAAGAAAAAAACCAAAAGGAGAGAAAAAACTTTCATCATCATTCAACACTTTCACCATCACTCATACATAATCACTGTCTTTACAGAGGCACCCAGATACAACAGTTTAGATGTCCTTCCAACTGCAAATAGCCCAAATCTCTCCTTTATAATACAATTTATACAATGAAAATATGAAAAGGGTTTCAGTTATTACCACTGGAAGAAGAGGGAGCTATGTACATGATACAATTCTATCAGAAATGGCTCTTTCTCTTTGGTATAAAGACACTTTAAGGAAACATTTTACCCACCACGAGTTTTCGTCAATCCTATACAGAGTTTACTGAAAACAGGGCTTAAGTAGTGGAGAGGTCAGGTTGGGTAGTAGTAATGTGTTGCATGGGATGGGCCATGCAATAACGTGTTTAGGTACAATCATCTCCATGAGTATGCCAGAAGAGCTGAATGCCCCCAAGTTTTGCATGATAAATATGTCAATCGTAGCTACTTCTAAACAATGCCTGCTCTGTGAACCATCCTATTTTATTAACAGGTTAGCTTCATCCCATTTTATGAGATGCCCATTTGTGCTATGATGCATTACATGCAGTGTTCTAATTGTTATAGCTGCATGTGTATTTATGTTTCAGGGTTCTAGATGTTTTGCCCAAGTATATAGTCGAACTTGAGTCCTGGAAATGGGAAGTACAATGCCTGCACTTTAAAGGAGGGGTTTGGGATATTGGCAGTTTGGAGGGATATGTTGTGTATCTTTATACGTACATGCTTCTATACTGTTGTATTCTGAGCACCTCTGCAAAAACAGTGATAATGTGTGAGTGTGGTGAAAGTGTTGAATGATGAAAGTATTTTCTTTTTGGGGATTTTCTTTCTTTTTTGGGTCACCCTGCCTCGGTGGGAGACGGCCGACTCGTTGAAAAAAAAAAAAAAAATACCTTAAAGGCAAATCTATCACCACTTGTGTTTAAAAGACAACTTGGAATGGGAGCTGGGTGATGCTTTCATCCTCTATTGTAAATTATATGATAGCCTCCACATTGTTGATACATATATACCTTTGATGAGTTTCAAGAGCTTTTCTACTCTCCGAGACCAGCCTTGGGCCAGGCTCATCCTGTGCTTGCCTGGTCAACCAGGCTGTTGACCTGGCACCTGGTGTAGATACTTGTCCAATTCCTCTTGAAGACTTCTACACTTGTCCCAACACTGTTTCTGATAACATCTGGTAAGATGTTTAATAATCTGTGGCCACAGACATTGATACAGTGTTTCCTCCCTTACTGTGCTCACTGCACCTCTGCTTTTCAATGGGTTCATTTTGCACTTCCTTCCATACCTCTCACTCCAGTATGTTTTTATGACAGTGTGCAGATTTGGGATAAAGCCCTCAAGCACTTTCCAGGTATATATTATCATGTACTTCTCTCTGCTCCAGTGAGTACACATTAAGGCATTACTGGTAATTTAAATGCCTTATAGACTATGTAGGCCATAAATGATTTCTGTATCTGTTCCAGCTTTGATATGTCTCCTGCCCTGAACAGGGCCATAAAACCATACCACGGGCAGGGTTTGAACTCGCGGTCAGAGTCTCAAAACTCCAGACCATGAACATGACTCACGATTTCTTAAGTCATGTTCACAGGGGCATCAACACTGAGGAATATACAAATGAGAGCACAAGTGATTTGAAGTGTCACCACTGGCATTATTCCACCCCATCATCCTCCTGGCTGTCGTGACCTTGGTCTTATCATATTCTCTGAAAGAAAGGTCAGCTGACAAAATTATTCCCAAGTCTTTCATGCGTTCCTCTCATTCTATCTGACGATCCTCTTGAGTTCTGTATACAGTTTCCCTTTTCAGTTCTTCATTTTTTCTATACATAAGCAGCTGAAACTTATCACCAATGAACATCATGTTCTCTACTGCCACTGAAAACCCTGATTACATCTTCCTTTAATTTTTCAGTGTCTTCTACCAAAATGACTTTTATGTTTATTTTAGTGTCATCTGCAAATGATGATACAAAACTGTGACGTGTGTTTTTATCCATGCTTGCTACGAGCATAAGAGACAGCAGAAGTGCCAGAGCAGTGCCTTGGGGTAATGAGCTTTTTTTCACCTCGCTGATGCTGGATTTCACTCTGTTTAGTACTACCCTTTGTGTTGTGTGTTAGAAACCTGAAAATCCATCTGCCTACCTTTTCCATAATGCCTATGACCCTCATTTTACATGCAATCACTTCATGAGTTCATATGTCAAATTCCTTTGCAAAATCTGTGTATATCACATCCACGCCATCATTTTCCTGGCTTTAGTAACATTCTGTTCTTTAAGATAGGTCAGCTGATATTACTCCCAGGTACTTCACATGTTTCTTTTGCTCTATCTGGTGATCTTCTTGCATTTTGTATACAGTATCACTTTTGAGTTCTTTATTCTTTCCATATCAAAGCAATTGGAACTGATCACCATCGAATGTCATGTTATTCTCCACTGCCCGCTGGGAGACTGCTTATATCTTGCAATTTTTTCCAGTCTTCTAAAGAGGTGATTTTCATGGTTATTTGTTTGCTTTAAAATTCTGACTGAATATATGACCAGGCTAGCACCAGATGAACCTAACCCATGGCCAGGCTCAGAGTAGACTCTTGAAACTTATCAAAGGTATATTGTAAGAGGTTATTTGGGTGGGTGACAATTTACAGTGCAGCATTGTACTGAGCAGAGTAGTTAAATCTTGCACGACGTAATTTTTTTCTTTTAACACATCGGCCGTCTCTCACCTAGGCAGGGTGACCCAAAAAAGAAAAACACTCGCTAGCATTCAACACTTTTGCCATCATTCACACAATCACTCTTTTTACAGAGGTGCCCAGGTATGACAGTTTAGATGTCACTTCAAAGAGCCAATATCCCAAACCCCTCCTTTAAAGTGCAGGCACTTTACTTCCCACCTCCAGGACTCAAGTCCAGCTAACCAGTTTCCCTGTATTATTTCACAAAATATTACCCTGCTCACCCTCCAACAGTTCATCAGGTCCCAAAAACCATTCGTCTCCAGTCACTACTATCTAACATGCTCACACATGCCTGCTGCATGTCCAGGCCCCTAGGACACAAAACCTCATTTATCCCCTCCTTCCATCATTTCTTAGGATGAACCCTACCCCTCCTTCTCCCTTCCACTAGAGATTTATAAATACTCCTAGTCATCCTATTTTGCTCCATCCTCTATAAATGACCAAACAACCTCAGCAACCCCTCCTCAGCCTTCCGGTAATACTTTTAGTAGCTTTAGACCTCCTCCTAATTTTCACACTAAGAAATTCTCTGCATAATGTTTACACCACACACTGCCCTTAGACGAGACATCTCCGCTACCTCCAGCCTCCTTCTCACAGCATTCACAACCCATGCCTCACTCTCTCACCTCCATGAATAATACTTTTTTTTTGTCTCCAGATATCTCAATATACCACTCGCCTTTAACTTTGTCCTTCATAAACCCATCTGCTGACAAATCTACTCCCAAATATCTGAACACATTCACTTCTTTAATACTCCCTCCCTCCAATGTGATATCCAATTTTCATTTACCTAACTTGTTTGATACCCTCATCACCTCACTCTTATCTACATTCACTTTCCATTGTCTTCCTTTATTATTAAAATTGCAAATTTGAAAGAATTCCTGAAACAGTAAGTGAAATATTACTCCAAAACCACATATTTTACGTTAAAGAAGTGCTCTTTGAATAGAAGTTGGGCCCTAGGTCAATAGTGAGTATAAACACTGATCTTACCTTAAGTATTGATTGGGGAGTATCAACAAGTGGAGATTCAATACTTGGTCGCACTCCAGATTTCTTTCTGTGCATAATCTTGGGAGTTTGTAGCAAAGACATCAAGTCTGCAGAGATAATCTGGGATATGCTGTGGAAATAAAAGTAAGATTTTTTTTACCAAATGAATTTTAAAACATGTAAAACATAGATATGACAAAATAAGACAGGATGAAGAACAAAAATTAATTACAAATTAGGGTGAGCCTAATTTCAAGAGGCACCAATCCACAAAATACATAACCTTTTTTTTTTTTTTCAACAAGTCGGCCGTCTCCCACCGAGGCAGGGTGACCCAAAAAAGAAAGAAAACCCCAAAAAGAAAATACTTTCATCATCATTCAACACTTTCACCACACTCACACATTATCACTGTTTTTGCAGAGGTGCTCAGAATACAACAGTTTAGAAGCATATACATATAAAGATACATTTTGTAAAGCATTTTGTAAAGAATATACAAGCTTTACAATTGTTAACTGAATACTAATAATTATAGCATTTTGTAAGGAATATACAATCTTTAACCCTTTCAGGGTCAGCAGGCCCTCTCCTAAACTTGTTCTCAGAGTCAGAAATCCCCCCCCCCCCCAAAAAAAAAAAAAAATTATGAAAAGATAGAGAATCTTTTCCCAATCATAATGACACCAAAAGTATGAAATTTGATGAAAAACTTACAGGATTATGCTCTTGTGAAGTTAGCGGTCTCAACTATGTTTACGCATCAGCGATTTCGCCCACTATGAGCCCTATTTTCGGCCAACTTCAATGTACCAGTCGACAGAAATCATAACTATTTCGCTAGAACTCCATTTTTTCTATCGAATGAGTACAATAAACCACCCATTTACCGATGTCAACTATCCAATAAAGTGGTCAGAAATTGGCAATTCTGCCAATTTCATACAAATTTCAAAAGATGCCAATTTCCATATAGGGTCCAGAATAAACAAGACAGACATTCCTGGCACTAAAATAAAAAAATTTTCTGTTCATTAGTCATGTCCCCATGCCTCTCTTACATTTCTTTTGCTTTCCACTTTGAATTTTTATTCTCACAAAAAATAGAAGATTTACTGTTATGCAGACTACTGTATTAGTGTAGAAATGGCTTAAATAATATCAGTGCACTTGTGAAAGAACATTAGACTCACCAGTTGACGTGTATTGGACACGTGGTATAATTTGTGTACTTTTGAACTATGGCAAAAATCGAACATTTCTGCTACTCTGAGCTCAATTTCAAGGTACTTTTAATTGTGAAACCAATCAAAATCATCTGAATTTCTGTAATATGTCTTCCATTCTATAAAATGAGACCAGGAAAACTAGAATACAACCATAAATAGCATACAAAAATACAGTGCAAAGTTGCTGTTTAAAAGCAAAAACACAAAGTTTTTTTTTTTCTCATTATGCACTGTGTGCTGCTGGATTTTTTTTATACTGTGCATACGGACCACATAGACCCATTCTTTCATATGTAGGCCTACCAGCTTTCTCTCACTAGATTTGAAGACTCTAGAATTTATGCATACTAGTACGGCACCAACCCTGGCGTGCAAGCCGTACTAGTACGGCACCAACCCTGGCGTGCAAGCCGTACTAGTACGGCACCAACCCTGGCGTGCAAGCCGTACTAGTACGGCACCAACCCTGGCGTGCAAGCCGTACTAGTACGGCACCAACCCTGGCGTTCAAGCCGTACTAGTACGGCACCAACCCTGAAAGGGTTAATACAGTGGACCCCCGCATAACGATTACCTCCGATTGCGACCAATTATGTAAGTGTATTTATGTAAGTGCGTTTGTACGTGTATGTTTGGGGGTCTGAAAGGAATAATCTACTTCACAATATTCCTTATGGGAATAAATTCGGTCAGTACTGGCACCTGAACATACTTATGGAGTGAAAAAATATCGTTAACCGGGGGTCCACTGTATTGGATTATTACAAAAATCCTGTTACACAAGCAAAACCTGCTATGGGACACTTTCCAAAAAATTTCTACAAAATTAATGAAGTTTTGTAATGTACCTGACATTTGCCTCAGGGGCTCCATATATGCTTTTTCTTAATACCGAATCCATCAGCTTCGATACATCATCATGTAAGAGAGTCGAGTCTCCCAAACTTCTCCTTTTAACAGCAGGACTATAAAGTCCAATCTCTCCCTCATCCACTTCACTGTACTTAGAATGTGATGCTTGAACTCGGGAAGGAAACACCACATGAGAGGTCTCTCTGTTGAAGTAATTACAAATTAATTAATTAAAGCTACTTTAGTCACAAGAAATATGCAATACTGTATGCATTTGTAAAAATAAAGAATAAAATGTCATACTACTGTAACTGGAACAATACACAAATAAGCCACACAGAAGAATGAAATTTATGACATTTCAATCCGACTTGCACCATTAACCCCTTCAGGGTACTTATAAATAACAGAATCTTTTGCCAAAGATAATGACACCAAAAATATGAAATTTGATGGAAAACTTAAGAAAGCGATTTTTTGCAAAGTTAATGGAATTGTTGATATTTACACACCAGTGATTTCCCCCACTTTGAGTCATATTTTAGGCCAATTCCATTGTTCCACTCGACCAAACTCAGCTATTTTGCTAGTATGCTTTCCATTCTATCAATTGAGCATAAGAAACTGCCCATTTAACTATTTCAACTACCCAATAAAGTGATTAGAACCCAACAAAGTGATTGGATAATATCACAAAATAAAAAAAAAGACTAATTTAAAAACAGGGTCCAGAATAAATGATGAAAACATTCCTGGCACTAGAACATTTCCTCTGTTCATTAGTTACATCCCTGGGCTTCTCCTATATTACACTTGCTGTCCATTTTGAATTATTATTAGCACACAAAAAGTAGTAGATTTACTATTATGCTGACTACTGCATTATTGTAATACAGTGGACCCCCGACATTCGATGGCATTGACATTCGATAAATCCGACATTCGATGCATTTTAACGCAAAAATTTTGCCTCGACATTCAATGGAAAACCCGACATTCGATACGATTCGTACAAGACGTGTCCACATGTGGCCTGAACTGCCCCGTGTGCGCCAGTGTTTACAAGCCAGTCAGTGTGCACGCATCTAAGGATACATTCAGTACATTCTATATTATCCATATTATCACTGTTTTTGGTGCTTGTTTCTGCAAAATAAGTCACTATGGGCCCCAAGAAAGCTTCTAGTGCCAACCCTGTGGTAAAAAGGGTGAGAATTAGTATGGAAATTAAGAAAGATTTTGAAGGGTTTGGGGCTAACCCTGAGAAGCCTATGCCAGTTGTGGAATCCATTGTGCCTACTTCAAAAATTAAGGAAATGTGTGCACAGTGCATTGAACTGCAAACCTTTATGGATGAAAATCACCCTAACACAGCTATTGCAAGCCATGCTGGTGACAATTACAATGACAATGTTGTGGCCCATTTTAGACAAATCGTAAAGGAACGGGAGGTACAGAGCTCTATGGACAGATTTGTTGTGCGACAGAGGTCCAGTGACTCTCAAGCTGGTCCTAGTGGCATTAAAAGAAGAAGGGAAGTAACCCCGAAAAAGGACTTGCTACCTCAAGTCCTAATGGAAGGGGATTCCCCTTCTAAACACTAACACCTCTCCCCTCCTTCCATCCCATCAATCATCACCAGATCTTCATTAAAGGTAAGTGTCAATTATTCTATTGATATTAATCTATTGTTATTGTTGTTATTGTAATTATTCTATTGCATTAAACTTAATATTTCATGTGGTAAAAAATTTTTTTTTTTCAAACTTTTGGGTGTCTTGCACGGATTAATTTGATTTCCATTATTTCTTATGGGGAAAATTAATTCGACTTTCAGTATTTTTGACATTCGATAGCTCTCAGGAACGGATTAGTATCAAATGTCGAGGGTCCACTGTAATTGCATAAATAATGTTAGCGCATCCGTGAATATGTATTAAAGTGGCCAGTGACATGATTAACCCTTTGAGGGTCAGTCCCGTAGTTCTACGGCTTTGAAGCCAGGGTCCAAGCTGTAATACTACATCATGAGCTCTGCTCACTCAGATAAGTTGTAAGCGGCAAATTTGGACCTAGATATAAGAGAATACATCTATGTGGTAAGTGTGCATCATATAATACAAATCCTGCAGCATGCAGTGCATAATGAGAAAACTGCGACCGTGTTTCTGGATTAAAACAGCGACTTTGCGGTGTATTTTCCTATGTTTTTAAACAACCATGGTGACATTACACATCCCTGTCTAAGACCTACTTTTACCGGGAAGTATTCTCCCTCTCTTCTACACACCCTAACCTGAGCCTCACTATCCTCATAAAAGCTCTTTACAGCATTTAATAACTTACCACCTATTCCATAAACTTGCAACATCTGCCACATTGCTCCTCTATCCACTCTATCATATGCCTTTTCTAAATCCATAAATGCAATAAAAATTTCCCTACCTTTATCCAAATACTGTTCACATATATGCTTCAATGTAAACACTTGATCTACACATCCCCTACCCACTCTGAAGCCTCCTTGCTCATCCGCAATTCTACATTCTGTCTTACCTCTAATTCTTTCAATTATAACTCTACCGTATACTTTTCCTGGTATACTCAGTAAACTTATTCCTCTATAATTTTTACAATCTCTTTTGTCCCCTTTCCCTTTATATAAAGGGACTATACATGCTCTCTTGCCAATCCCTAGGTACCTTTCCCCTCTTCCATACATTTATTAAACAAAAGTACTACAACCACTCCAACACTATACCCCCCTCTTTTAACATTTCTGTCATGATCCCATCATGTTCCAGCTGCTTTACCCCTTCATTCTACGTAATGCCTCACGTACCTCCACCACACTTACATTCTGCTCTTCTTCACTCCTAAAAGATGGTATACCTCCCTGGCCAGTGCATGAAATTACCGCCTCCCTTTCTTCCTCAACATTTAAAAGTTCCTCAAAATATTCTCGCCATCTACCTAATACCTCCCTCTCCCCATCTACTAACTCCCCTACTCTGTTTTTAATGGACAAATCCATACTTTCCCTAGGCCTTTCTTAACTTGTTTAACTCACTCCAAAATTTTTTCTTATTTTCATTAAAATTTCTTGACAGTGCCTCTCCCGCTCTTTCATCTGCTCTCCTTTTGCACTCCTCTCACCACTCTCTTCACCTTTCTTTTACTCTCCATATACTCTGCTCTTCTTATAAACACTTCTGCTTTGTAAAAACCTCTCGTAAGCTACCTTTTTCTCTTTTATCACACCCTTTACTTAATCATTCCACCAATCACTCCTCTTTCCTCCTGCCCCACCCTCCTATAACCACAAACTTCTGCCCCACATTCTAATACGCATTTTTAAAACTATTCCAACCCTCTTCAACCCCCCCACTACTCATCTTTGCACTAGCCCACCTTTCTGCCAATACCGCTTATATCTCGCCCGAACTTCCTCCTCCCTTAGTTTATACACTTTCACCTCCCTCTTACTTGTTGTTGCCACCTTCCTCTTTTCCCATCTACCTCTTACTCTAACTGTAGCTACAACTAAATATTGATCTGACATATCAGTTGCCCCTCTATAAACATGTACATCCTGGAGCCTACCCATCAACCTTTTATCCACCAATACATAATCTAACAAACTACTTTCATTACGTGCTACATCATACCTTGTATATTTATTTATCCTCTTTTTCATAAAATATGTATTACTTATTACCAAATCTCTTTCTACACATAGCTCAATTAAAGGCTCCCCATTTACATTTACCCCTGGCACCCAAATTTACCTACTACTCCCTCTCATAACATTTTTAACCCACTTTAGCATTGAAATCCCCAACCACCATTACTACTCCACACTTGATTCAAAACTCCCCACGCATTTCACTCAACATTTCCCAAAATCTGTCTCTCTCCTCTACACTTCTTTCTTCTCCAGGTGCATACACCTTACTATAACCCACTTTTCACATCCAATCTTTATTTTACTCCACATAATCCTTGAATTTAATGCATTTGTAGTCCCTCTTTCCTGCCATAGCTTATCCTTCAACATTATTGCTACTCCTTCTTTAGCTCTAACTCTATTTGAAACCCCTGACCTAATCCCATTTATTCCTCTCCATTGAAACTCTCCCATCCCCTTCAGCTTTGTTTCACTTAAAGCCAGGACATCCAGTTTCTTCTCATTCATAACATCCACAATCATCTCTTTCTTATCATTGCACAACATCCACGCACATTCAGACTTCCCACTTTGACAATTTTTCTTCTTCTTATTGTTTTTAGTAATCTTTACAGGAAAAGGGGTTACTAGCCCACTGTTTCCGGCATTTAAGTTGACTTTTACAACACGCATGCTTACGGAGGAAAGATTCTTATTCCACTTCCCCATGGATATAAAAGGAAAAGTAATAAGACCAAGAACTATTAAGATAAAATCAAAGAAAACTCAGATGATGTGTACAAATAAACGTGTACATTATGTGTAGTGTGACTAAGGAAGTAGAAATATATATATATAACAATATATAAAATCTGCCCTCTGTAATACTTTTATTAACTCCACACCTTCTCCAATTTCCACACCCCAATTTTCTGCTAATATTTTACCCCAACATGCCCTTAAAACGGGAAATCTCCGCTCCTCCAACCGTCCCCTCGTGCTGCTTTACCACCCAAAGCTTCACCCCCCATATGAGTGTGGTACTTATACTTTCTACCCCCTTTTTCCCTCCTAATAACGTTTTTTTGCTCCATATACCTCAACGCCCCAAATCACCTTTTTCCCTCTCAATTTATGATTAACCTCATCTTCTTTAAATCCATCCGCGACAGTCAACTCCCAAGTATCTGAAAACATTCACTTCTTAACTCCTCCTCCCCAATTTTGATATCCAATTTTTCTTTATCTAAATCATTTGACACCTTCACTCTTACTCTTTTCTATGTTCACTTTCAACTTTTTTCCTTTACACCATTCCCAAAACTCTTCCACAAAACCTTTGCAATTTTTTTTTAGAATCTCCCATAAAGCACAGTATCATCAGCAAAAAAGTAACTGTGTCAATTCCATTTGAATTGATTCCCCATAATTTTAATCCCACCCCTCTCCCAAACACCCTAGCATTTACTTCCTTTTAAAACCCCATCTATAAATATATTAAACAACCATGGTGGACATTACAAATCCCTGTCTAAG